CTTAAAATCTGAGGCAAATATCTTAAAAGATCAGAGTCAGAAATGTGGTTCTATGTATCTAACTGTTGGAGGTGAAGAAAAATGTTAAGTCTCAAAGCAGCCCTCCTGGTGTCTAGGCATAACTGAGAAAGATGATATTGGTGTATTTCTACTGAAAAAGGATTCACATTAGAACAGTTTATGGCTCAATCAGCTTGAAAATTTTTGTAATGCTAACTAGTAGGAAAATAATGCAAAACTAATAATTTATATGAATAAGTGAGCTACAGCAAAGGAAGAAAAAATCCCTTTGGATTAATGACACATCACAGTTCAGGCAATATTTGATGCTGGAGGCATCAGAGAAGTAACATAACATAGCTCCATCTTGCACAACATATTACATAAATTCAAAACCAGCAGGCCAGCATGCTAAATATGCAGATGGATCAAATGGGAAAGTAAAGGAGAGAACAGTTTAATTTTTCTCCCTATTTCTATCCCTTTCTTATCACTATGCTCACTATAATACCGGGTTCTGTGTTCAACACATAGCTGCCGCTTATCTCAGATATTTTGTCTCAACGTACACTATTTTTTTTTCTGTAAATCCTCAAGATGCTAATTCCTCTCCCTGTCAGATTACTTCTAATGTGGATCTCATATTTCTCTTTTCGTAAGTTTTCTTAGTAAGAAGCTAGCCTATTTTATAGGAAACAGGCTTAAATTCATTTCTACCATAGGCATCCTAGGAATGGAAACCTTATATAATTTTGAAAAGTGCTTAAGCACTTAAGAGGAACTAAGCATCTGACTTGGGCCCTATTAAGAAAAAGTGTCTTCAGGAACCAAGTATTTACTACCTAAATAACTCTGCATATTTATTTCTCGATTCCTTAGATCTCATCTCTAACATGAATATAACAGTATTTTCAAGGTATTAGAAGAGAAAGCAAATGAAGATGATGCTGTGATGCCATACAAGAGAGAAATGTATTTTTTTCTCTGAAGGACCCTTTTCCGTTCTGCACTGCCTTTGGGAATTATCTCAGTTAGTGCAAAGAACACTCTTTATGTAGTCTGAGGCACCTATAATGAGCCTTCCAGCTAGGAGCCATAAAGCTTATATCCCATTTACCTAAAATAAGTTAGTGCAATACAAGAGACACTCTTATGCAAGAGGTATAGATTGCACTCCAGTATATGCAGTTGGGTATGCACAATGAAATCTGACTGTAACTTTCTATTTTCAGGACTCCTGTTATTGAATTGTCAGGAATTCTACAAACAAAAGTAGAATTAATTAAGAAGAAGATGAAAATGAATGCTCCCCAGGGGATGGCAGCTGAATCTGTTCTATCCTTATCCTTAGGACAGAACTTTTCTGTTCTGTTGGGATTAGGAGTAACTCCACTAAAGTCAGTAAGATTACACCGGTATGAAATTCATGTCAGTAAGCTCAGAATAATCAGCTAAATGTGTGTCTGAGTGGAAGGATCAATAGACTTATAGATGGTGAACAGCCTCCTGAAGGAAAGGGAATGTAGGAAAGTCTATCCTTTTGAAATTGTCTTTTTCTCCCTACTAATCGTAACGGTTTGTTATAGCTAGTGAAGGGCATTACCAAATCTTCACTAACTAAAGAAGAAAGTTAGTTTTGTTCTTTATTTTTGTTTGTCTGTTTGTTTATAGCACTGTCATTTTTCACACATCATAAAGATTGTCTAGTAGTTTTCCTGTCACAGCAAGGAGACTAGTCTGAGTTGACCTTTTCCAGAGTTGACTGAGGAAAGAACATAAACGGAATGTCAGAAATCTTCAAGTGACCCATTACAATATACCTGGTAGATTAATGCAGTTAAATTGTAGCCTGTCATTTAGAAGTCAGTCTTGCATCTGTCTTTAGTCACCTCTTTACCTGGACGAATCAGGTTCAGGGGATTTAAATTATATCTTTCAAAGATCATGATTTTCAAGAAATCAAAAATGCAGATAGAGGAAAAAATGGCATTTAGGATTAAAAACATTTGCATGTAATGTTAGTGAGTAATAATTGTTAGTTGAATTTCATTTGACTAGTTACAAAATATTTAAACTTAGATTATTGATTGTTGTTAGTTAGGGTGATAATCTAGCATAGCATTGTAGAAATTTCTTTGGCAAGCGGTGAGGTATGCCACAAAAGGAGATGATTGTTTAATTTTTTTGAAACTACAAAATTCTTTCTTGAACTAAGAAATAGCAAAAATGAACTAAAATCCTGCAAAAGTTGGTAAATTAGATGCGCTATTTAAAAAGAAGAAAAATGAATGATGCTTCGTAATACTCAAAGCAATATTTAACTGTGAAATTATCAAGCATAAAATATAGTTAAAAACAGTAAATTAAACCTGGTTTTAAAGATTTAAGATAGTAGAGATAGGTGCCTTGAATAAGTAATGAGAATCAGCAGCACGGTATGCAGTTACCTAAAACATTTAAAATGCTTCAAATGAATAGGAATTTTTTGTTCTGCTACTTGACCATCGTCTACATAATACAATGGCAAAATGTAAAGTAACAATAACATATAAATATAGTGAAGGTATTACATAAGATAATTACAATTAATAATTTTAATAAAGTTTCGAGAAAAGTGTTTAGGAGAATTTTTTGTTGATTCATGTACAATTACCATCAATTGTGCACTTACACTGGGCTTAGACACTTTGAAAATTACTGCAGTAAGGTTTTAAAGGAAAATTTTCATTTAAAGAAAACAAACACAGTGTAAAGCAGTGGAGGGCAAGAAAAGTTTTGTGTGTAAAGCAGAAGTTCAAAACAACCAAATGTTCAATTTTTAGAAGAATGTAATTTACATTACTTTATCTAAGAAAGTCTCAGAGAAGACTGCCAATGACAGAACATTGAATAAGGTTCAAATAGTAGAAGAAATTATAAGCAGAAATTGCATGAAGTGACATATGGTTAGTATATAAGTTAAAGACTAAATTTTTCCATACCAAAATATAAATTAAAGTAACTTTATAAGTATCAATTAAGATAGTATTATCAATAGTATCACTTAATCACACAGCTCAAGAGAGAAATAAATGATTAGGAACAATGTCATTTGAATTGAGTACCACTACTCCAACAACAACAACAACAAAAATTCCTTTCTTCAAAGGAATTAATTCATGTTATCTTCAAAATTCACCTGAAGGTCACTTATTTCCTTTAATTCACTAAATTTATGCAAAATTCAAATCAAGTTATTTCTTGATACAATATCCTCTAACTTTGATCTAAGAAAAATAAAAACTGCATATTCAGGGATCAAAATGGCACTTGGATGCCATAATGCAAGCAGTTCAGAATAATCCACAGAAGGAAGTAGATTTTTCAATAAAAGCTGAAAAATTAGCTTTTGTGGTTAAAATTGCTATGTACCTGGCTAGTAGGCGTAACAAGAAATGTACTCTGTCAGACTGGATGAAAACTCAGCCACATGGAACGTGTTTGTTTCAGTAAGTTTCACCTTGCTTTTTGTAGCATTTTTAATATTCAATCACAAAACTCTCTGTCCTTTGTGAACAAAATTCCAGGTCATTTTGGCATCTCGTTTTACATTTTGGTTTTTGTAGTGGCTGATGCCCTTGTTCCTTCCTATATTTATTTCTTAGGTGCCTCAGTACATCATAGTGAAACAACTTCAGGTAATAAATGACTTCACATGAACTTCAATTTAACTATTCAAAGATTGTTCCCAGACAAGTAGACTGCTGAACTGTATAACCTGGGAAATGACATTGCCCATATATGCCATGAGTTACCAGCATTACACCGCATGAGTGCCATGAGAACCTCTTGCTAAGAGCTTAATCGCAAGGCTGTAATCAGAATGACGATGGTAACTTTATTGGAAATTCTTGAAGGAGCTTCATTGTTACTGCAGCAGATTACTATCACTAGGAGCAGCGACAATGCTGTTCTTGTAGAAAAGAGGGAAATTTTTTATCGATAGTAAATGGTGAAGTTATGATGCAGGTATTTACTAGTGATGTAACAGTTGTATTGCATTCTCAGTACAATTAAGCTAAGGAACTATAGGTCCCAAGTGAATGCTTATAGTCTAGAACCTGAAAATTCTCACGTCCCTGGCAGAAGGGTGTTACTTGTAGTCATACTTTTTTTGAATGACAGATATATATATGTTTTTTCCTGGATGATAAAATTAAGCTTTGTTAATTTGTAGGAAAAGCATCTGATTCAATAACACTATTATAACGCAGCATTGATTTGACTTTGAAGGGGTGAAAAGCAAAGAAAGGAGGAAGGCAATGATCCTAGCTGAAGGCATCTAATGAAGCATTTAAGGTAGAAGGATGGTACTTCTGATTAGAGAAACTTCAGCTTATGACATCAAGATCCTAATATAATGCTTTTTCTCCCATCTAAACCCTGTGAAACCCTGCCTAAGTTTGCAGGAAAATGATCTCCAGGGGTGTTTTAACCATTTATCTAAGGAAGATGCGAAATTGCTTTGGGAGAGTGAGAATTCATATATTGGGTTCTGAGGGCAATGTGGGACCCTCCCAGGAGTTGGTTTCTGGCATAAGGGAAGTGGTTATGCCAAGACTTTTGAAAGCCTTAGGATAAAGGGGCTGTCAGAGAGCAGCGCCCTGTGCAGCAGAGCTTTGTGATGCAGACTGATAAACAACATGAATAATGACTCTTTTAAGAGCAGTTTTCCCTAAAACATATTTTTTCTAAATTAGTAATGCTTTGCTTTAAGGAAGGTGACAACTGGTTGCCTGTCAGAGTTTCCTACGGAGTTGCCTTCTCAGCACCTCCTGAAGTGGTTGCAGCTTGCATGCAGAAGCTGAAGAAGGCTTTGCCTTGGGAATGAAAGACTCTCACGATGTAAGTAGAAACCGCATGACACCACTTCTAGTCAGAAGAGACCATCTGAGGCTCTTGTGGAGAGCAGTGTGTTCAACTAGAGTGTCTATAATACATATTTATTTTGTTTTCTGAAGTGAGCCAGGCCAACATTGTTGCTGAACTGCTTTCTGATAAACAGGAGAGTGCAGAACTAGTAAATGGCAGCAGGGGCCGAGAGAAACGGAGATGTGTGACACAGTAGCCACCGTGGCTGTCTGACAATAAGAAATACACCCCACTAAGAAATACGCTCAGTGGCTTTCAAACTATGGTACCTCTACACATCTTCTGCCTGTGCTTGTGAGATTTTGGCTTTAAAGGGCCAAGAGGTGCTGGAAGGCTGGAATGCCCCCCCCAGAACGACGACCATTTTGGGGACTGGCCCACAGAGCTTGGCAGAGTCGTCTTTCTCCGCAGCTAGAAGGAAGCATGCTTTGGTGGCTGTTTACAGTGACGGTTATTATAGATGCAGGTGAGAGGTCTGGCTGTCTCATGAAGGAGCTTCTGATCGCAGTCTCATTCTTTTATCTCATGCTCCAGCCTTTTTCTGCTCCTGTATTAGGAGTTGCCACCATTCGTCTGTGCATGCCTCATCCGTCTAGCAGGCATGGTCCTGGTATGGATACAGTACCTAGCAGTGCAGTTGATTTCAAGGCAGAGTGCCTGCTCCTGATCTGCACCCCTGTGTCCTTGGGCAAGCAGAGTGTAATGCAGGGAAGCTCCTTTTCCGTACAAGCAGGAAAAGTTACTCAGCTGTCCTTGATCCCCTTTTCTGGTGTTAGGATGTTGATGTGGCAACCAAGGGAGCCTCTGGAGCCAGTGCCTCCTCTTTTGGGTTATCAAGTGTCTTAGGCTTGAAGGATCACTACACTCCATCCCACAGATCAGCCCACAAGCAAGTGGCTGTTCGTTTGTTTTGTGGTTCTTGATTTTTATTTATTTTGTTTTAATACTTCTTGCACATGGAATATGAGCAGTCCCAACTTCCCAAGGTGAGCAAATGAAGAAAAGCTTTTTAAAGATTTGAGGAAAATTTCTTTAGCAAGTTACGCAAAGTGTCATCTGTGGATGATATAAAGAGCATGTTAAGACATTATAGTACTATTACCATATTTGGTTTATTTATTAATTTGCTCTTGCAAATAACTGCTTCTAAATGCAAATGTGTTTGAAAGGTAAAGACTGCACACACATTTATGTTTATTTTGCACTAATAACTAGAAGTGTAAATTGAAAACAAAGTAGAATTCAACATGGAAAACATTATTCCGAGCCAATCCTTATTGTAAATAATTGCCTTTAAGATTTTAGGGGCAATTAAAATATAAAATTATATTTATATAAATAAAAAACACATTTGGGTGAATATATAGATAGCATATTTTAAAGCAATATTGGAATTTGTTATGGGAACTTCCTTATCAAAACTACTAGAATAAAAACACCCTATACAATCTTAAATCTATTCTAGCAAAAACTTGTTAGGACTTCTAAGGGCTATTTCTATGCCCTTTGAAAGGCCTTAAACCTAGAGCAGTCTAGTGTGCCTTGTGTAAACTTTAATGTAAAGCATTTTACTAGTAGGTTGGTATTCATGCACATGCAGAGTAATCAAGCATGTGTAAGGCCACTGGAGTAAATGACTCTGGTCCTAGGACTGAATCGGCACTGGGTAGAGTCTCAGTAATAGGCACTGCCTCACAACTGAGGCATAACACCCATCCGCCAGTGTTTCTAGTCCATGTTAGATTGAAGTCAAACAGGCTGAGTAACTGCTTAACCCAATCTGTATGAGTCTGAGCTCAAGCTGACTAAAAATGTGCGGTCACAGTTTAAGAAATTATTTATCCCAGCTACTAGTTACATCAAACACGGTATTTGGTTGCTAGGATTTCTGAATAGCTTTCACAGTATTTTGAGACTTGCTTACATGAAAACGAAGTATAAATAATTTTTTAGAAAATACTCTCAAGAAATTTAAGATTGAGTTAAATAAGGTTATTCTCAAATAACCTGAAAAGTTTACTAGTTTCCCTTGTCTACCAGAACTTGCATTTTCACAGTACCTCCCCAGATACCTCCCTTTGGTTCTTGAATTCAGGTTATTTAAAAGATAAAAATTTACAGCCTGCTGTTACCACTATCAAAATTGGTGCAGAAGCTACCACCTTCTGTAAATGACAGGGAATTGTGTAGAAAAATGTTCGGCGCATATATACTTTCATTGATAATGTGCGTCCAGATCAGTGTTTAAAGTTCTTACCTGCAAATGCTTTAGAGGGAATGAAAATACTAATTTATGATGACTGTCTGATATTTGACTAGATCATTTTGAAATTATCCTATCCTAAATACTACATACTCTTATCTCCGAGAAAAGAAGTGGTACATTAGGCTGCTAGTATTTTTAATCAACTTCAGGTCAAACAGATGGGCTTGAATGGCTCGTAGTGGTGGTTTAAGCTCAGTGTGCTGTAAAGTAGTTTCTGCAAAATTGTACCCAAGTTGGTTTGTGGTGCATTTACCATAGAAGTTGCAAGATGCCTTTCTGATGTCTTGATTGTCTGGAATAGGAAACAAGGATACTATTTCTGTGATGGTAGCCAGGATTGAATTTACTAGGGGCAGTTCTGGAAAGGATTTGAGCTTGTGGACAATTTGCTGCATAGCCGCTTTTTTTTTTTTGCTATCCCTGTGTTATTCTAAAAAAATGATGAGTGCTTGAACTAAGTAACTTATTCAGACCATTTAAAAATAACTTCAGGCTTTTTGCTATATTTTCAGGTATAATTTAGCTTTTGCTTTTTCCTTCTTTATATTTTAATTTGAAAATGATTTTTAAAGTGTGTTGAGAAATGTCATTTTTCTTTACCTGTGCTAGTTTAATTATTTGAAAGTAAAATTTTAATCTAAGTGCTGGAAGCCTCCAGTGGTTGGAATTTCAGCTAATAGCGTGTTTTGTGTTAATGGGGTAGTGGTGGAGAATCAGTTTTCAGTTTCATTTAAATATTCTATTCTTGTTTGCACTCCGTTGCTCCTTTTGCGATAGCCATAATTTAAATAATTGATTCAATGAAAAAAAATTCAGCAATGTAAAGCTTAACAGTCTATTCCAAAAAGGTCAGATACCAATTACTGTAATTTTGCATAAAATGAAATGAGAAAGCCTGCCCCTTTCACTCCCAGGGAAAAAAATGTTAGGATAATCAGAATTCTCATGAGGCTTTTTCAATCAATAAATGTTTGAGTGAATTATTGCAGCATCAGGATTGAAAAGTATTGTATTCCCTCCTGCAATTATAGCATGCAAAAAAAAAAAGACCCACCTGAATCTGATGCGGGGGGTGGCGGGGGGGAGACAGGGATTCGGGTGGGGGAGGAAGAAAGGAGGGTCAGTATAAGAAAGGGAGAGGAAGAGTGGAAATGCTTTATCTAGTTTTTCCCATGTAAAAGACAGATGTTGTTGTTGGTAATAGTACTAGCTTTTGTTTTTCAGTGTGGTATTATAGATGTTCTGTACCTTTTTTTCTTTTTTAAATTCTTTTCTCTTATTTGCATTTGTGGTTGCACATTTCCAAATTCTTTTTAATATGGTTTGACAGGCGCTTTCTACCGGGTTCTGCTGCCTGAAACGTAAACAGCAGCTAGAAATGTTTGGTAAACTTTATTTCACTTTAATCCTTCACGCCATCTGAGTCCAGCTATACAGCACAAGGCAGTGCCATCTGGAGATAACTGAGCAAGCTCTGAGCAGCCAAGTTATTTCAGTATCAGAAGTCGGCTAGTCACACTAATATGGCTTTGTGCCTGGGTTCATTAGCCTGCTGAGTAGTTAAGTAGTTATTCAGGTAGAGCACTGTGCTAACACAGCTACGCTGCTTCCAGCATGCAAACCATTTTTGGTGTCTCTGTGCAGCACTGGATTAAAATGTAGAAGAGACTCTGTGCCGATACCTCGGGTGATGATAGCCTCCATCAACCCATTTGTAGCGTGAAGCTTTGACTTCTGGCAACTCTTTTACCTGACCTGGAAATCCTGTGAGGTGAGAGGCTGAACTTGCTCGCCTTTCGGTTAGTTTCATTCAGCGCATCCGGAGATTTTCTGCGTGCTGCCGGCCTTGGCACCAAAACGGTGTAGCAGTCCCCTGCCGCCATCTCCTCCTGGTGACTGCTGTCTCCCCTGCTTCTCCTTTCTTCCTAGAAAACTTAGCAAAAGTCTGGGTAATTAAGGCACCTTGTTTTGCAAATTAGAAGCATTGGTAGATAGATTTGTTAGAGTTTGCTAGGTAAAATACATCAAGAGGAAGGCGTGTTATGTGGTTTGGGGCTAGCTGAGGGTAACCTAAATATCCAAATAAAGAGTCCTCCTCTCTGTGTCTGCTGCGGTCTGGCTGCCTGCCCTTGTGAGTGCTGTTCTTCAGCTGGGGCTTCGGGATTGCCCCACAGGCTGCACAGCGTTTCTCTCTGAAAGTTGCCATCACCCTTGGTATTAGCATGCAAAAGTAAGCGAGTACCTTTTGTGGACACAGTTTCTTTTGAGGTGTTGTAGATTGCATAGCATACGTGTATGTATTTAACAAAAGAAAAATCTGTAAGGTCAAAAAATTTCAATTGATAGTATGTGGAAAAACTACTTGTTCAGCTGCAGTATAGTATAGCAATTTATTCATTGCCTTATACGAATGGTAGAAACTTTCTTTTTTCCTGTCCTTCAAAATAAGTGAGTCTTCTTCACTTTCACTGCATGGAGCCTTTTTTTAAAGCGCTACTGTCAATCCTGTTGTAGTGGCATTTGGCCTGAAGTAAGGTGATGAAGAGATTTTTTTCTTTTTTTCCTGGTAGTGGTTACCCTACTTGGCATCTCATTTGCTAGTCAGATATGAAGATCATATCTTAGCTGAACTTCCTTTGATCACTGGGCATAAATGGACTTACGCAAGTTATCTGGAACAAACTGAGAACTTGCAATGTCTTCCAATTATTTTATAAGGGTATTGTTCTGGTTTGATGTTTCCTTTAGGTAGTCAGTTATGCTCATCTCAGTTTTACTCTCGAGTCTTTTCCTTCTTGCTACGTAAATCTTCGTTGGTTTTGACCACTCTTCATATCTTGGGGAAAAGAAAAAAAAAATTGCTGACTTAGCAACTTATGGCATTGCCTACGGAATGTGCACATTCTTATGGAGGCTATGAGGTGCCATTA